AAGCTTTTCATATAGCGTAGGATAGTGTAGGATACCGTAGGAGCTTTTAAAAAGTTTAGTTTTTATGGTTTCAAGCTTTTTATATAGCGTAGGATAGTGTAGGATACCGTAGCAGCTCTTAAAAAAATATTGTTTTTCAGGTTTAATAAATATTGAATATATAATTTAATAAATTATTGTTTTTGAAAAAATGTAATAAAACAAAAAATAAAAAAATACTGTTCAAATTACTTAAATATCAAAAAATGTTCAAAAATACAAATAACTAATTAAACATTATTTAAACATTTTCATATTTTTCAAGAATCCTAGATTTAAAAAAAAATGGCCTCAAAACGTTTGAAACCTCAAGGATTGACAGAAACTAAAGGAATTAGACCAGGAAAATATTCAAAAACATTGAATTTTAACAAAATTTCAAAAAATCTAAATTTTAAGAAATGGCCTCAAAACTCTTCAAACCTGAAGGAAAGACAGGAACTGAAGGAATACCAGGAAAATCTAATTAACAATTAACTACTGTTGGTGCACTTTTACTCCTATCCCCCTGTCGGAACTGTGTCTCTTTACCACTGCTGGAACGGCTTTTAAATAATATGTTGTTAAAATTAATATATATATATACAGTTATATATATATTGTTTAATATGTCAAGAGTTGTGAGAATAATTTGTATTTGTATTTTCTAAAACTATATTTTGAACTGGATTCTACAGGACACCTGAAGATGATTGATATCGATGATCCTTTGGAGTCATGCCCTGGCAACATGCCCAATGAGCGTGGACACAGACCAGTCTTCAACTTGACAGACGCGGGAATACGACTTTTGCTTGGACGCAAGAAGATTCGTAGCAAGCCGTTCATCCGAATCATTTGCATTGGGTGCAAGCGATCCTGTTGGGACAAGTGCCGGTTCATTCCGGGAGACTACCTCGAGTGCCTAACTTAGACTGCGAGTTTGTCTGATGGTGATGGTTCCATAGAGTGGTTGAGTTGTAGCTGCACTGATGAGTAGTATTCAGTAGTATTATATATATTGTATGTTGGTTCGCGTGGTTTATTTTAATGTTCTGTATGATTTGATGAGGTGGGCTCCTACATATTATCGTCTTACAAAGAAAATGAAAGAGATGGGCGTGCAGGAGGAGCAACCATCAGGCTGTCGCTGTTTTGTGCTTGTTCTCTTTGACAGACTGCTAGCTGCTTACTCCTACTCGTCAACTGTGGACACTGACTGTAGTGATGAAATTCTTCCTGATGCCAAATGCCACATCTGCAGTATTTGCAGGTGATTTATGTTGTGATTGCCACAATTGCGCTCGTCGTGGGTACCCAAACATGAATCGCACTGAAGTGGCGAGATGCTCAGAGTAAATTGAACTGAATTAACGCACGTGTGCAGTCAGGCCATATCATGCAGGCAGCATCAAGCACAAGCCAAGACTTGACAAGACTCATGTTGCTTCAGGTGGCATCCCTTAAAGATCAAACCCAAACAGCATTTCGTGAAGGATGGAATGCCAGTGGCCAGTCCTAATCAATGTGTGGTTCATGGTTAGTTAAACTACTAGTAAGCGGTTTTGTTCTAGTAGATTCTAGTTAGTTAGTAGTAGTTAGTTCTACTACTGTAACAATACTCACTCTAATATTGTTCTACTGCAAATGTCAGTTAGAGTTAGAGCCGAGCTGCCTTTGTGTGTGTGTCTATGACAGTGTGTGTGTGTATGGAAACCGCTAGCCAAAAGGTCTGGAAACCTACTTGACCGAGATGGATGAAAAGATCAAACTGGGGAACCCGAGAATGAAGAAGAGATCCAAAAAGGTTGACAAGACTCAGAGTAACAAGTACAAGGTCGCCATACCAGGAATGTTCGTCGACCTCGACGTGTACAAGGCTGATTTTGGTGACCCAGCAGATCGAAATCATGAAGTGCATGACATACTTGATCCAGCTACCAATCAAAAGGTCAAAGCAGTCTTCATGCCAAAACGAAAGGCTGGATACTACGAAGGTGAGATTTCATTGTCCAACAAGGTCCAAAAGAGTGAGACTCTTGATGATGATGCGCGGGCGCTTCGCAATGGCCAAGTGGATCAAAGCTATTGTTTGCATCAGCAGAGCTTTGCCAAAGATCTTCCAAAGCCTCTTAAAGACGCGCAAACATTTTCAGAAAGTTCCAGGCCACTTCCACAGCCAGAGCAACCAGATCATGACCAGGAGACATCAGCAATGAATCACCTGTCTGAAGTTGAGGAGGCTGAATGCAAGACTGAACTTGATGATTCCGAGTTCATTGAGCTTGCAGTGGCAATGCAATCCAGAGAGGACTCTGAGGCAGTCGAAGGAGGTGGCTTGACGGCTGAAACACTTGAATCACACAATCATTTGCTCAAACCAAAGAGGTCATCTGCAAGCAGCGGAGCACCGAAGCAGGATCCAAAGAAGCGCAAGACTAATATTCCTCAACCAGTGCCATCGCATGCTGATTTCGTCATCAATGGTTCTCATGGAGCTCCAGCAGGAGGCAATGATTCATCTAGTATTCAGACAACGACACCAACAATTTCATCGCCTCCAACACAGGCTCCGGAGGACATGAGATCAGCAGGTAGGGCGGTTGAAGCTGAGGAAGCTGCCGATTCATGGGTAACATTCCTGAGTCAAGGTTGGTGTGGCTGCCATGCTGTGGCTGATTTACAGATGTCAAGTAATGCTGGAGGCATGCTTCTCAAAGTTTCACCGTCAGCTGACAAAGCAAAGTGGTCTACTACGGTCAAGTCAGTGAGTCCACAGATGTCTTTTCTGGAGAACTTGTTGACGTCAGGAAAGGGGAAGGACCAAGAAATGAAAAGTTGCATCACAGCATTGAAAAAGGCTGCTGGCAAAGCTAAGAAAGCAGGAACGAAGGACAAACCAGAACTTTTGTCTGATCTCCTTCGATCTTTGGCGGACGTTGTGCAAGAGCTGAAAAATTTTCGATCCCATGTGGTCAGTGCAAGAGTCGGCACCATATCTCCACAAGATGTTCAGCAAGGAGTGACATCGGTGGTGAAGGCTTGGGGCAAGCTGAGCACTTTGTCTCGAAAATCACACTATGTGGCATTTCCGGAGTTGTGGGTGACTTCATGGGTCAGTTCTGCCCTCAGTGACACTATGGGGATTTTTTTGGTTCAATTGTAATCAAATCATTTTGTTGGGTTTGCTGGTTTGCTGTTCAACCTGCATGTTGTTGCCAAGGTGCTGCAGCAACAAGCGTCATGAACAAGACCAAGGATATGTCATGGGGCACTGATGAAGCCGCAAACACTGAGACCAAAAATCTCATCCAGGATGCGTCTCGAGCCATCTTCCTTGCACCAGCTGAGAGGTTGCAGTCCAAGCAGGATCCTGACGAGAAGGTGGCTTTTGGTGCCTTCAATGATTTCTTTTGGTTCACTAAGACAGACTTTGGTGATCAGGTTTCGCAGTTGCAGCCAAAGCTTCTGGGAACAGCATTGTCAAACATTCTGTCTATTGGTGGCACTGATGACTATCAACTGTTGACCAGTGATCTTGTCAGTCTGCTACTTTTGTTTCTGCCATCTGAGACTGAGATTGACAAGTCAGTGATTTGTAAACACGCTGCTAGTGTGCTTGTGACCCTGTCACAGCTTGCCGTCAGCGTTCAGAACATGCTTCAAACCAACCAGAGCCCAGACCCAGAGGAATGTGATAGACTTTCAAGCCAAGTGGATCTGCTCAAGGCCGGCAACATTTCAAAGCGTTCCAAGCCCTTGACTCGACTGGCGACAACTGGAGGCTTCAAGAAAATTGTCCTCTATGTACAGTCCCAGATTTCTCGTTGCAAGCAGGACCATGCAGCCGGCAAACAAGCAGCTTCCTTGCAGGCTGTCCATCAGGAGATATCAAAAATATTGTCTGGCAAAACCAAGGTGTCTTCCAACCTGATGGGCATGGTTGCGGGCTGTCACAAACTCAAGACGCTGATTGAACTCATAGCCGCTTTGCCATTGAACCCAGATTCGCAGTATGTTGACCTCCGTTCAAACAGTATCTCACTCCGAGACGATTTGGAGGACTGACTGACTGACTGACTGATGACTGACTAATTGGTTGAGTGAAAGATTGACTGTGGTTGGGTTTGACGCTAAAGTTTTGCAAGCTAGAAACACATAGCTAGCTAGCTAACTAGCTAGCTGAGTTGGCGGTTTTTGCAAGGAGTTCATCTATGATGGCTTTGTGAATGCTATCGGATCGTTCATGCGAACTATCAATGTGGAGTCGGGCGATGACACGATGCAAAATGATGCCTTGAACTTTGTGAACGAGTATGGCAAGTCTGAGGATCTTGTTCAACTTAGCGCACCACTCAAGACTTCCACCAAGGACTTGCTCAAGACTGTTGGCGCTATCACTCAGGCATTTGCAATGTGGCATCGGTCAGCCGATCTCTTGGACAGCCTGTCAGCAGACGATGTGGTTCAATTCACCGATGGACAACCTGACTCCGAGAAGTGCAAGGATGCCATCCACTTTCATCATCTGTGTGTCAATCTGCTGCCAGATGTCAATCAATCTGGAGCTTCGTCATCCATGACTCCGGAATCGCAAGAAGCTTTCGCATCTTTACGCACCAAATGGACGAACAAGTCTGTGGAAGTCTTGTGGGCATGTCATGACATCATTGTGGACTCCTATGGCAAGAGTTATGAGAAGCCTAGTCTAGGATGGGTGGTATCGGACGAGTTGGAGAAGCTTCTGGTGCGCATGAGGGATTCGCTGATGAAACTCAAGTGCTTCACAGTGAGCGGAGCAGAAAGCAAGGAGCAATCGTCCAAGGAAGTGGAGAGGCTTGAGGGAAGTATCAAGGAGATCAGTGCCATGCTAGATGTCCAGCTCACAGGTGCTGAAATTGCATTGAAGGAAGAGCTATCAAATCAACTTGCTTCTCTTCAAGCAGTCATGCCTTCAAAGAGCTTGGAGGAAACTATGTGCAAACCACTTGAGTTCTTTCAAGAACATCTTCCGAAAGCGACAGTGGTGAGTGCACCTGCTGGAGAGTTCTTCAAAGTGCTTGAGCAATGCAAGCCAGTTGACCGGCTGGGAGAAACCATATCGGAGGAAGCCAACAAAATGGCACTTCATGCAAAAGTCTTCTTGGCATCACTTTCGGCGTGTGGCATTGTGAAATCAGATGACCCAGGGAAGGCAGCAGTCTTTGAGGAGAACAAACTGAAGACAAGACATTTGACACTCGACCAGCTTCCATCGAGTGTGAGTGGTCCACTTATTGCACTGTCCAAAAAGTGAACGAAGCCGAAGCCCTGAAGTTGTCGAAAAGCAGCGCCAACGTGCTGAAAAAATGTTTCAACTATGGTCTGTTCGGCGCTGAAGGCCAATGGTTGTTCAGCTATGTGTTTCCTGGATGACTTCAATTCTTTTAGATTTTCTGCAGTTGGATTCGAAGTCCCACCCAAAGGTGTGGGAACGAAGAAGACTAATTTGTTGCGTAGTTAGTTCGTAGCAATTCTTTCTTACGCACTTTGTGACAAGTGACAACTTTCTTTATGTTTGTTCTTGGCTTGACTCCGAAATCCGGAACTGTACAGAGGGGTTTGGCTTGACGTCCACTGGGGGCCAGCCGCTGCCTTTGAGGGTTTAGGAGGGTGGCAGGCGCTCATGGCGACTGGCGATGCCAATTTGCCAATGGCTAGCTTACCGATTAGACTTTGACCAATCCAGGAAAAAATAATCATATGCAGTAATCTATAGCAGTCAACTGAGTATTGTATGGCTTTGATCTGTCAGCAGTCAGCAGTCAGCTGTTTTGTCGAGTGTACACTTTTTAGTTTTCCGACAGTTGGACAGTTGGCTTGGATCGATTGCAACCACTTCTGCTGGCGTTTTTGATATAGGCTAGGCTAGGCATCCAGGAGTCCAGTAGGCTAGGCTAGGCTAGGCCCAGGCTGGGTTCTGAAGCCATTGACTGAGACAGCACTGACAGTAATCACGCTGCCGATGCCACTGAACATTGTGACACTTCGGGACACAGGCCAGCTGTTCTGACCATGGAAGATGATCCACTGGACGTGGGAGCCTCACATACATTAGTTATTTGTTAAGTTCAGTCAGTTCATAAAAGGTTTAGATAATTTCATTTGATGAGTCGCATGACTCATGGCTAACGATTCCTGACTGTGACTGTGACTATATTTTTTGAGGCAATCCCAATGCCCCAAGATCCACTGGATGCAGAGCTCTCAAATTGGGTAGCGGCAGTGGTGGTAGTATGGTATGGTAGAACTTAGTGGAACTGTCTGTAGAATTTGAATAGACTGTAGAAAAATGCCAAGCCTTGACTGTGACTCTGACTCCGACGTAGCTCTTGGTTCTCTGACTTGGGTAGCCTGCACCTTCCGATATTTTTGTGAGTAAGGCTTTGCCAGTGGCAGTTGCGTCGCCCTCTCAAGTGGCGTTGGCAAGCAACGCTGTGATTTCGGAGGACTCAACCGGTTCTGAGTTATGCATGTTGGGGCCCAGCATAGTTCCATTAGGTCAGGTGAGTCGGTGACTTTGTGGAGCCGTTGTCAGTGTCACTCCCTCACTATAGTTTTTTTAATCGCAAAATCCACATGCTTTTGTTGTTCAGTTCGTTCATACCTCACTGGCAGGCAGCTTCGGGCAGCAGTGGCAGTGGCAATGGTACTTGTGGGACTTCTGGGAACCAAAACCAGGACCGGACCGGACCAGTGACTATGAAAACGTGACACAGGGACATGACTGAACGAAAGTAACTGGCGCAGTAGTCATGGTCATCAGACATCATCAAATTCAGATCAGATGTTGAATGTCATTGGCAAGGATTCCAACAACGATGTTCAAGTTCAGGATAGGGATAGAGATCGAGATGGCGGAAAGGCAAAGGTGGGCCTTGTCTCTGTGATTGACCATGCTGTACTGTATTTATCAATCGTGACACAGGACTCGTGACCAACACAATATGTGACAATGAGACTAATTAGTACAATATAGTAGCAGAAGCTAGTAAAATTATAGCATTTATTTTTTGGCAGGCATCTGGCAGCAGCTGTGAAACCAAAGCAGACTCGGATGCTGATAGTCGTGATGAGTTTGCTCCAGCAGTGTCTGCAGCGGAGCTAGACTCTGACTCAGGCCCCTTGCGTGAGCTACTGAAGGCTTGCAAGACAAAAGTGAACTTTGATGTACAGTGGTCCAGAGTGCTACGCACTGGGGACCTGTCAGACGTGACACTATCAGCCAGCATTCTGACAGCTGCTGGAGCGAAGTTTGACATGGACTTAGAAGTGAAAAAGCAAGGCCAGCGTTGCGATTCTCCTGAGTCTGTTGGCATTCTCCCAGCCGAGCTTGGCCTCACAGACTATGATGCTGACGCTGACCTGACCATGACAGTGTTGATAGGGTAGCACAGTCCCACTCTCCTCTGGCGCCCAAAGCTGGCAGTGAAAGGTGGTTGGCGTCGGTGTTGAAGATTCAAGGTGAACATGATCTTTGTGAGCGATTTGCGCAAATCAGAGATGCTGCTGGTGGTCATTTGCATTATGGAAGCGACTGCAGTGGAGTCGATTCACCAGCAATAGCACTCAAAAGTCTCATCAAACGGCTGCAATCAACAATGCAGGACCGGACTTGTGACTTGGAATTGGCTCGAATCTGAAACCTGACCCCTGACTATCAACTCAATTTCACCGATTCTGTTGGAGTGTCTGTCACGTCTGTCCGATTCATTGAGTGTTTTTTTTTCCGCAGGACGAGCATGGAGGGCACCTTGCTCTCATGCACAGATTTTGTTCAGAAGCTCCTGGTAGAGAAGGACATTACCAAAAATGCATGCTGCTTTGGAATCACTCACCAGCGGTTTTGTTTGACACTGGGCCAGACTGGACGGTTGACGGTTCAAGTTGAAGAGTTGATTGTGATTGATGTTGTCACACATGTGATGTGATCGCCAACAACAAAGGATGATTGTCTTATCAGGGTCACTGTCTCAGTGTGTGTAGTGTTCAACATAATGCATTTCTTCCAGTGCCAGAACAGGTTGAGTTTTCTGAATATTGCCATGTCATTCAGGAACAATCAAAAGGATATGGAAAGAATTGGATCACTGGTCGCTGGACCAGAGATCCCGTCTGTTCTGTGGATGTGTACACAGGTGGCTTTGAATGCCAGGACCGGATTGAATGCAGAAATTGACTGCTGCCTTCACCCAGACTCAGACTGAAACTCAGTCAGCTGCGGCAGGACCTGTCGAGCATGAACAGGTATCGGAAGCCTCTAGTTGTGCAGGAAAATGCTACTGCAAGGCCTGCAAGCAGCAAACCGGTGAGAAAGATGCTTGGCCTAGCCTCCAGGTTCTGGAGGAATGATTCACTTGGATGAGTTTGTGTTGGGGTTTATGGAATTGGCTGCCCTGCTGAGGAGACCAGCTTCTGTTGCAGACTTTTTCAAGCCACAGCAGCAAGAGAATCAATATGATGACCAGGTGGACCAGGTCGAATGCGGCAAGAGTTCCCAAACTCTTCAGGCATCATTGTACTACGTGCGGAGTACGTGTCCGGTCAGTTGCTCAGAGCTCCAGCCGTCATTTGCTGAGTCATTTCGTTATCTTATTTTTTTCCATTGCCACAGCCTCTGCCACAACAAGTTTTTTTAATATTTAACACTTGCCTTTTTGTCACAAGGCAATCGTGTTGCTGGAGAATGTGGCAAAAATCCAAACTGCGCGCATAGTCGCTGAACAGCTACGCATCATCGGGTACATCACTCGTAGCTTTATTGTGAACAGCTTTGAATTTGGGTTGCCGCAATCTCGCACTCGATTGTTTGTTGTCGGCGTTCACCCACAGCGAATTGACATTGTGTCCCATCCCGACACCTGGGCCCAACAAATTGAGGCGACTGGGTGGAGTGAAGGAAGTGTACTTTTGCATTTGGCTCTAGTTTGGTTTGGTCGGTTTGGAATTCTTCAGTTTCAGTTCAAGTGATGCAGCACGCGGCTGCTGCAGGCCATTCAACAAGATTTGATGGCTGAGCAGGCTGCCTG